CCTCCCTCCCTCCCTCCCTCCCTCCCTCATCTATCTATCTATCTATCTATCTATCTATCTATCTATCTATCTATCTATCTATCTATCTATCTATCCTCTATGATTAAATAAAGGGGTTAATTATATTGACTGGCATTCTCTGGTGGGGCATTAGTGTCTTTTTCTTTTTCTGGCTGACTTCCTCTTTTTGTGGCTTTCCAAGAGTCATTTTTATTCCATTAGTGGTTCTTTGGCCTTCTCACTCATCATGATTTCAAAAGTCTTTCCCTGACCTCTTCTGAAACTAATGAAAAGCCATCAGCAGTCAGTGCTGTCTAGAATTCATGTTGGCCTGCCAGACATTGTACTTCAGTCTCCTCTTCTTCCAGAAGCCTTTCCTTTATGTTTATGGTTTTCCCTCTTTTCTTGCCAGCACAGCAAAGCCCCCCTTTTCTTATGGGGTATTATACTATGTCTTTTGTTCCTGGAGTTTCTATCAGCTAAGAATGATTTGTTTGGCAACACCCCCCCCCCTTTCACACACACACACATGGGGGGGGGGGAGAGGGAAGGAGAGAGAGAATAACAGAAAATTATGAAAATTGCAGATTGTCACATTATAAGTTCAAACATTTTTCATTATGGTTTCTTGTTTAGCTTTCTTTTGGATTATGGATAGATTTACTCTGTCAGGGTACCCAGTTGTGAGTATGGGCTGCTAACCATTTTTGAAGGACATTAATGGCTCCAATGGGGTTCAAACTAGACACCAATGCTTGAGTTGATATACTTTCAATGTGAAGCAGGAAAATATGGGAAGAGGTTGCATTTTCGGTGGATAGTCCTGCTTCCATTGAAAGCAGTATTTTTTTTAAAGTCATGTCAGCTCAAACATTGCTGTCTAGTTTGAGTCCCACATTTTGATAGTGGAAAGGGGCAGTAATGTCCCCTCACTATTTAGACTGAGGTAGAGAAGTAATGATGTGTATCATCAGCATACTGATCATAGTAAACCCTCTGTTGTTGACTCCAACCATCTAGATATTAAATAGGAATTAATAGAAAGTGAAATATTAGGGATGGCTAGACCTTGGTGGTCTTCTAACCCAACCTGCTAACCAGAGCAGAAATTATCAGACTGGCCCATTAAATTAAATTTCATCAGAATTGCTTCTGAGAAGAAGGAGAGAGTTTGACTGACACTCATGAATGGCCTGTTTTACACTATGCAATCATCACTCCAGTGGTCTACTGCTTTCCTTACAGATAGACTTTGACTTATGATCACAATTGGGATTGAAACTTCCATCATTAAGTGTTGCAGTTGTTAAGTGTTAAGTGAGTCACACCTGATTTTGCTTCAGTGATTAACCAGATCATGCAGTTGTTAAGTGAATATAGCTTTCCCCTTTGACTTTGCTTAGAAATCTCTGAGGAAGATTGCAGTGGCAATCCCATGACCCCAAAATGTTGCAACTGTTGTAAATACATGCCAGTTCCAAGTACCTGAATGTTAATCATTGACAAGGGAAAGCTGCAATGGTTGTAAGTACAAGGCCTGGTCATAAGTCATTGCTTTCAGCACTGCTGTAACTTCAAAAACTTGATAAACAAACCTGGTAAGTCAAGCACTACTTATATAGAGAGCCGTGGTGGGGCAGTGGTTAGAATGGAGTACTGCAGGTGACTTCTGCTGCTGACTGCTGGCTACAAACAATTTAGCAATTCCATTCTCATTGCTGAAGATTGACTAAGCCTTCCATCCTTCCAAGTCAGGAAAATGAGGATCCAGATCAGGGGTGGGATTCAAACTTTTTAACAACCAGTTCTGTGGGCATGGCTTAGTTGGTGGGCATGGCTTGGTGGTCATGTGACTGGTGGACATGGCTTTATGATCATGTTATTGGCTGGGTGTGGCCAACTCAACATCACTCACATTGAGGCACACATCTCCTTGCCCGGCCTTTCATGACTGAGGGGATGCTGCAACAGTTGTAAGTGTGAAAAATGGTCATAAGTAACTTTTTTCAGTGCCATTGTAACTTTGAATGGTCACTCCACACAAGCAAAGTACCAGCAAAGGAGGGGGAAAAAAACTCCAGGGAAGTTCCTGAGACAGGAAGTCTAGTCCTGCCAAGAATATAATAAGGGTTAACGGAGAGGTAGTTTCTGTAAGCAACACTAGAATGTTTCCTTCTTTCCTTCTCTGAACTGTTTAGAATGTTAACAACCGGTTCTAGTGAATAGGTGCGAACCAGAGGTGGTATTCAGCAGGATCTAACCAGTTCTGGAGAACCGGTAGTGGAACTTTTGAGTAGTTCAGAAAACCGGCAAATAGCTCCTCTGACTGGAGATTTTACAGTATCCTTCCCCTGCCACACCCACCAAGCCACATCCACAGAACTGGTAGTAAAAAAAAATTGAATCCCAACACTGGTGCGAACTGGTAGAATCCCACCCCTGATCCACATTGTTGGGGGCAATATGCTGACTCTGTAAACAGCTTAGAGAGGGCTGTAAAGCACTATGAAATGGTATATAAATCTAATTGTTGTTGCTATATAGATTTCAGTAATAGTTGTTTAGTTCATCACTGATAAATAATATCAGATAAAGCCATGTATGCCTGCATACATAAAAGAATAAATACACATTTAATCTTGTTGTAAATACCATCTCCTTATTACTATTATTCATTAGTTCTCCATATCCAAGGGACCTTTACATTTGAGGTCTTCAAAAGGTAACTGCATTAATGACAGATATATTTCAAATTTCTTAGCAGGATTCTGGACTAGTTTTTTTAGATTTTAAGTAGGAAAGTTTTTTTATTGTTTTGTTTTATTTATTACTTATTTAAAAAGAAACACTTTACTGCATTAAAAATACTTTCATACTCATAATGATTCTGAAAAAACAATGTAGCTATTGAGAATATAGAAAGATTGCTAATTACTATCAATAGAATGGTTTTCTGTTTAAAAACTCTGTTGGTGCAAGTCGACCTGGGAAAGAAACTATTTTACAGTTGCCATCACACTTTATTTTTACTACAGTAATCTTACCTTCTATATTTTTTTGTCCTTTATCCATTTGCTAAAATATTTTGCTTGTGTGACCAAAATCTTAAGTTTTGTCATTTTATTTCTCCATCAATGAAAGAGATGATAACCCCTGCTGACCTCAATTACAGAAAAGATTTGTAAAGTCTTATTCATGTCTGCTGAAATAGATTGTCTTTAATAACAATGCACCTACTTATAAAATTTGCTCTCTCTATCTCTTTCTTTTTATTTTCTTAAAGCTACACACTGACCAAGATAAAGGAGATGGAAATTTAAAATACATATTAACAGGAGATGGAGCAGGCAGCGTATTCGTTATAGATGAAAACACAGGAGATATTCATGCAGCAAAAAGGCTGGACAGAGAAGAAAGGTCTCTGTATGTGTTACGTGCCAAGGCTATAGATCGAAATACTGGAAGACAGGTGGAACCAGAATCAGAATTTATCATTAAAATCCATGATATTAATGACAATGAGCCCAAATTTACCAAGAATATTTATACAGCCAATGTTTCTGAAAAGTCTGCAGTTGGTAAGTATAATTTATCATCATGTAAATGTAGAAGAATGTTGAAAGGCAATTGAGAACTAAGTCACTTTTTTTCAGTAGTCAATTGTATTCTAGAGGCTGTTTGGAGAATTTAAAACAGTAATAAATCCTTTCAAATTTATTAGTTGAACTGCTCCAGGTTATCAGCAGTATCTATTTTTTTCCACCCTATTGATTACCATATTGTTTTCATTCATAATTAACAGTCAAATGGAACTATATCAGGCATTGTATGGTCTTAGGAGTAAGCCTCTGAAAGCACTGTTTAATAGAACCATGTTTGTTCATATTCAGTCATGATTATATATGTTTCACATTCAGATTTTGGAAGCCAGAGTGCAACATTTTCATTTTTTCTTAAAGCTTTCAAACAACTGAACCTAAAAGCATGTTGGCACAGTGATTAGAATGAAGTACTGCAGGCTAACTCATTGCTCACTCCAGGAGTTTGATCCTAAGTGGCTCAAGGTTGACTCAGCCTTCCATCCTTCCCAGATTGGTAAAATGAGGACCCAGATTGTTGGGGGCAAAAAGCTGACCCTGTAAACCACTTAGAGAGGGGCTGTACAGCACCATGAAGCAGTATATAAAGTACATAAATCTAAGTGCTATTGCTAGGTTTATTCTTTTGAAAAAGCATGTGTTGTAAATCAATGCATTCATTTATGATGGTAAATACACTATGTAAATCCAACATCATTGAGTTGTGGCACATGCTGAGAATGATGTGCTTGCATAATTTACAAAAATCCCCTTCTATTTCTAAAGTTTGTTTTAATCCTAGTGTATTGTTTTATCCATATTGCTATTAATCAGCCATAGTTAGCCACCACTTTTTATTTAAAAGGCTTTGAAAATTAAATTTAAACAGGCAATCCAGATTATAGTTAATGATGGTTAATTCCAAGCAAATGCAACAGAATATATGATTGAAAGAAAATCATAAAGGGAAAAATAAAGAATTTGGATAAGTTAAAAAACAAAGAGCAGCTTGTGCATTGTTCTCTTACATTGTTCTCTTAGTGTTAGTAATGATGCTGGAATTGCTAAGTGATTCAGTTGTAAAATGCAATATCACGTAGCAGTTTGTCATTGTCTTTGATATTTAAAAAAAAAACTGCCTCCACAATCTATATGGGTAGGTTATAGAACCAAAAAAGTAAATTTAAGGAAAGCCTGTAGGAATGTATCATCTAAATGCACATTATATACTAAGTCACAAACTCAGTTAATGAAGGACAGTTATTGTGACAATGTAAGGTTCTATATCAACGATTCTTAAATTGCTTGATCCTCATTACTCCTTTGCCTGGTCTCAAATAATGTAATTAACTGCCCCCCTGCCCCCCCAAAAAAATCTCTTATATAACTGTCTCCACAGCCCCAAATTGCATCCTCAGCTCAGAAACAAGCAATTACAAATTGTTCTATTACCTTCAATATATGTTCAAATTACAGTTTTAGAATCACTGTTCTATATCAAAATGAACCATGTTATGCATTGATGTGATGACCTGGTACAGACAACAATACCTGGTTTCTCAAACTCATTGAACCACAAACTCCTCAACCACACAATCCTAATCTAGCTATGTTGAAACCAATATGAAGAATTGTTAACAGTTTTAATAATCCTCATATTATACATCTTCATAATAATTTAAAAGAATAAATATTGTTTTCATAACATAATCTCTGAAGTCCTTCACTGTCAAAGCTACTTAGAGTTCTTGGATCTTCTTGGATGCTCAGAGGTATACTTGCCATAATGATATAGAGCCATAATGTATCTGTATCTGAAAAAAAAAGAATGGACATTCTGTTTGCTTTTAAAACAGAAAAAAATATGCACTGCCAGAATCTTAAACAAATAGCTTGGGTTTCTCTGTTTGCCAGGAAGGGGAATACATCCTTAGGGTATTTCCTAAGGATGAACAACTGGATATGTTTTAGTAACCAAAAAAAATAAATAAATGTAGATTTGACAGACCCAAGCTCTAGTTTATATCTGAAAAGGACTGTGATTAAAGGTCCTACCAATGCAAGCGGGACAGAGCTCCTACTTCTTGGAAGCAAAGGTGGAAACAAAGCGAGGAAAGATTATTTGCACAAATATTTTTCACAGTTGGTATTTTTGACAGGAAGAAGGTGTTGGTTGCCTTGATTTTCATGTTCATAAAGTAGCATTGCCATTAAGAAGTATTGAAAGTTCTGGGTATCTTGACAAGAGACTATAGCAGAGGTTCAACCGGTTCACACCGGTTCCGGAGAACCTATAGTGGCGATTAGGCATGGGTCACAGAAACGGTAGTAACTTCTGGCTGGCCACACCCCCGAACCAGTTCCCCGGTCGCTGGTCACTCAGTTGTCCCACCCACCTGATGCTCCCTCGCTCGCACAGCTTGCCCACCCACCACTCGCCCTGCCCACTGCTTGCCCCGCCCAGTCTCTCCTCCCTTTCTATGTGGCATGCTGGGTCCTCGTGGCTTGCCTAACCTGACTTCAATGCACCCGAACTGAGCAGCCCTGATCTGCCTGCCCTGCTCACAGGTAAGGCTGCAAATCGCACTAGGCCCTCGCCCACTGTTCAAGGCCTTTCCATACCTTCCCCCCACTGCCTGGGACCTTTCCGGGTAGGAGGAGGCCAAAGTGGGGCACCAGTTTCAGGTCAGTCCAGAGGGTAGATTGCAGTGGTGGTGGCAGTGCGGCTATGGGAAGAAGCCCCAGGAGTTTTCGGTCTCCCTGTTGGCACACATCCGCCACCCTTTCAGCCGCAGCAGAGCAGGGAAAGCGAAGGGAAAGCCATTTGCTTTCTCCCTCCCTTTCGGGGCCCTCCCGCCACCCTCCCAGCCCCAGCAGAGCAGGAAAAGCAAATGGGAAAGTGAAGGGAAAGCCATTCGGTATCCCCCTCCCTTTCGGGGTGCATCCACCACCCTCCCAGCCTCAGCAGAGCAGGGAAAGTGAAGGAAAAGTGAAGGGAAGGCCGTTCGCTTTCCCCCTTCCTTTTGGGGCTCGTCCGCTGCCCTCCCAGCCCCAGCAGAGCAGGGAATGCGAAGGGAAAGTGAAGGGAAAGCCATTTGATTTCCCCCTCCCTTTCAGGGCATGCCCACCGCCCTTCCAGCTCCAGCACAGCAGGGAAAGCAAAGGAAAAGTGAAGGGAAAGCCATTCACTTTCCCCCTCCCTTTCGGGGCATGCCCACTTGCTGCCGCCGCTGCCCGCTGTCACTGCTGCCCATGTGCTTTGAAAGGGAGGGCAGATGGATGTTTCAGGGCTGCTGCTTTCTTCATTGTCCTGCCGTTCGCTGCTCATAAGTTCTTCCCTGAAAATGTGAGTTTGTGTGAGATAGAGACAAGGAAGGGAAGGAAGGAAGGGAGGGAGGAAGGGAGGAAGGGCAAGAAGGAAAGAGCAAAAAAGGAAGAAAAAGCAAGAAAGAAAGAGGAAGGGAGAGAAAGAACTAAAGAGGAAAAGAGAAAGAGAAAGAAAGAAAAATAGGAAGAAAGAAAGAAAAAAGAGGAAGGGAGGAAGGGCAAGAAGGAAAGAGCAAGAAAGAAAGAAAGAAAGAAAGAAAGAAAGAAAGAAAGAAAGAAAG